TGGGAAAATGCTCTTTGCATCCTCCCGGCTTAGGCCACCATCACTGTCGCGTCCCCCACGCCCACCCGCGATCTGCAGCAGGAAGCTGCGCCGGCTGCATGTGGGCAATAGGGGGCCTCAGCCGTCTTTGGTCACAGCAGGTCTGTGGTATGCCCCTGCCCACTGGAGGGCAGGCCTGGCACTGATTCTGGCAGGACTCAGCCCGCGGACCAGGCCTGAACCCGGAAGCCGCCCTGAGGTCCGCGCGTACGGAAGACACGCAGTCGCCAGTGAGGAAAGAGTTCCCACAGGGCGCAGCGCTACGAACCTCAGCAAATGCCGAGGGGGGATAAAACGACAGAATGCTCTTGAGGTACTTACCCTTTCTCCTTAAGGCTCTCTGAAGGGAAGACAGGCCACGAGACCCCAAACAAATACCCACTAAATTAGCTGCCTTACAGCCGCGGAAGGCCCCAGCCACAGACCTCCAGCGCCTGCGCAGCCCGCGCACGGCCCGAGGCCCGTCGCCCGGCTCGGCTCCGAGAGCAGCGCGTTGGCCGTCAAGGCACGCTGGGAAAAGCATGGGCCTCGGGGGTTTGCCAAGTCCTTCCGCACCAGTTGGAATACCCCATTCCCTACCCTGCTTAAAGGGCCACTTCCAGGGATTCTCTCCCAGGAACACCAAACGGCCTTCTCGTTTGTCTCATTTTGTGCCTGAAAACATAGCTTGGCTGAACTATTATTTAATGTATGATCTCCCTATAACATTTTCTTTTTCAAATTTCAAGTAATAGCCAGGAAGGTGGAGAGCAGAAGCAGACAGAAGTCATAATCACCTCTATTCTTTCTTTCTTTTTTTTTAAGCTTAATCCTGCTGAAGAGTAAAATAGTGAGGGAAAAGCATCTCCAGGGGCCAGGGGGTACAGAAAGAGCCCCTAGGATGAGGGCAAGGGGAATACTTGTTTGCAGCAACTGGAATAGGTAGTAAGACATTGGAAGGCCTCGTTCTTTTACACACAGTCATGACCTGCTGGGTTAAGGAAATGGGACCCCAAACTGGAGTTCCCAGCATCAGCTGTTCCTGGTATGTATGTCACGAGCATGAGGAGAGTGCAGAGTGATAGGGACTGTAGGGAACTGCTGCAGCCTGGACAGCACAGAGGGCTGGTGCTCATGCTGGTTGAAGATGAGAGAGCTTTTATGTCGAAGGCAGGGGTGTGTGTTAATAACAACAGAGGTGGAAATTCCCAGGGCTGTGGTAGGATGGTACACAGCCCTGATGGATTTAACCAAAATTTAAAAAGCAGAGTATCCTGCACACCCAAGTGTGTGGACGAACATTCATACCCATAACACTGAGCCTGATGTTGATAATGTGCAGATGAGAGCAACTGTAAGAGCAGCATGCAGGTCAGAAATCTGGGGAAGCAGATGGGGCTCGGCCAAAACAGTGCGGGGTGGGGCTCTCTGGTGACAGGCCATCAGGTTTTTGGATAAAATGAAGGTTCCTATGGCCAGGATTCTCACCTGGCCCTAGTTAGCTAGCTCACTACACACTTTTGGGCAATGTATCATTATCAACTCTATATAAAGAGCCCCACCCAGTGCTCTGGGCGACACGGTGGCATGGCTGCAAGGCTGCAGGGGAGCAGAGCAGAGGCTGGAGTGGTCACAGCGTGGAGGGCAGAGACTGAGATGGCTGTATGGGCAGAGAAGCCCAGAGGTGGAGACCGGCTTGCTGCATGCAGACTTGCTCTGAGTGGAGATTTTAGTGATTGACCTGCCACCGTGGAAATAAATTTGGGTATAACCCTTTCACCCCAAGAACATCCTAGTCTCATTTCTTTGGTCCATAGTGAACTTGTATGGGGCTGAAACCCATTGGCAAGACACAGTTTCTTTTGGCTGGCAGAGTGTTTTGCTGTTGTGGGCTCAGAGTTGTCTGTCTGAGCAAATGTTTCCAGGGCAAAGTTTCCCACCTAAACTCAGGTGGGCTCAACACACACATATTGGCCTTTGGCAGCCTGCAGGAAGGTGAGGAGAAGGTGACTGGTTCCTTCATCCTATGGCCTCGCTGTGGGGTCATAAACTCTGGGCACGGGAACTTGGGTACAGATCCAAGATTCCCTGGAAAGCACAAATCAGGCCCTTTTTGTTCTCTGGTAGCAGAGAAAATAGTGAAGAGGCTAAGCTTTTTAATTGTCCTTATTCTGCTGGTTGCAGTCTGGGGATTATCTGGGGATTAAACTTTTGATTTCTATAGTCTCTTTATGAAAACTAGATGTTTTATCACTCAGGGGGTAAAAAGAATTTGTGAGGAAGAAGCAAACAGAATTTCTAGTTAGCAGTAAGATAGAAAACTACTAGGATCTTACCAAGCTTAAAAACAAAAACCACTAGAATGTTTTTATGGTATCAACTTAAAAAACTAAGACTCTGAAATGTCTTCATTATCAGATTGATAACCATTACTAATTTGGTGGCTGTATTTAACAGTCAACAGCTCTCTACCAGCCATAGTTTTAGACGTGCAGGATGTGCCAGTGAGCAGACTGCACGGTCGTGGACCTGTGTTCTAGTGGGAGAGACAATGAACAAATCAACAGATGTGTAGGTCAGTTTGTGATAAGCTTTATACCAGAGACAAGAAAGCAAGGTAAGGGATGAAGAGTGAAGGGGCGGAGGGTGGGTCTTCTTTCCCCCTTGCTTTGCTGCCATTTCTCCAGCGGTCTCAAGCACCTTGGTACCTCAGACCTTTGCAAGTGAAGTTTCCTCTGCCTGGACCCCCTTACTGTTCCTATCAACTCTCCCTTGCCTGGTCACCTCTCACTGCCCTGCAGAGCTCAGCCCCAAATCCCTTCCTTAAAGAAGCCTTCTCTTGCACTCCAGAAGACACCAAGTTCAGTTCCCACTTAATCACAGCACCCAAGCTGCTTCACTGTGCTGAGCACACCGACGCCGCCATGTGTATGGAACTGCATGCCTTCTTTCCCTCCAGATTGTGAGCTTAGGAAGCAGAGACTGTGTCTCCTTCACTGCTGAATCCTTAGAACTCTGAGTTTGTAGTGTAGGTTCCCAAGAAATAACTGTTGAATGTCCAAGTAACTTTCCTGTATCTGAATAATCCATTAAACAGAGAAGTTTCCGTTCCAGGACTCTTTAGAAAACACTGTTTAATTTTATAGGCCATTTAAGAATTCTGGAAATTTTTTCCAAAGCAAGATTCATCTACATAACACATTTTCATTTGATTATGAAGATCAATACTAACTTAGGATGTCACTATCCTCCTTCCATTTTACTTCAACAGTCTTCACTCTTGGAAACCTGTATTGACTCTACTACAATTTAAAATAAATATTTTTTTTGTAAAAGATTGAGTCATAAATAGGCAGAATCAACCCATGCTTTTATTTTCATTGCATATAAAAATTTCATATGAAGGTATTGATGTACAGTACTATCCCCATGGGCTGTAAGAGAGGCTAAGAAACCACTAAAAGAATCATCATTTGTAATGCTCACACACAATTTACCACTCTGAAAACACAGCCAAGGAAATAAAATTAAAAACAACTAAAATCAGTGAGGATGTTTTTTTGTAATTATAGTGTCCCCTTTGTACTGTTTAAAACAAAAGTAATCAAATTCCTTTGGGCCAGGGCTGCTAAAATCTACAGTTTGTGTCAAAATAAAATAAAATAATAGGAGGCTCATTTTTCCTAGAAAAAGAATCTCTCACTAAGTCATGTGTTCAGAGGGCTGGGCAGAGTGGGAGGCAGTATTCTCATCAACCACTGGGAATTTTTCATAGAGTTTGGGAGCTGGCACAGGTTAAAATGTACGGTTCTAAAGGAATATGAATTGGTATTGTTTACATACATGGATTTACATACACAGGGATATTTGATCTTAACTGAAGAAAACTTTCAGGGTTAAAAATTGACCTTTTCATATTATATGTTCTCTTCACATGACAGGAAGCTGATTAATGGTTAACTTACATGTGTGACTTGTGGCTCTGGTTTCTAAATCAAGCTCATTTGCCTATGTGCTCCAGAAGCCAGAAACTTTTTATAATCACCAGATAAGAATATATTTTTCCAGTAGTGTTTGAAAGTTAAAAACAAATGTCACTAACTGACGTAGATCCTGATCAACAGATAGGGAAAACACACATATATGCAATGCTGCCTCATGGCAAGAAATACGTAAGAGCTTGTATCTTAAAAGGGTCTCAGATTCTTCCAGAGTTTGCCTGTGGTTTTGTAAAATCCAGCTACTACTGCTAATCCAATTGATTCAAAGATCCGATGCAAAATGCCCAGCCCTAGCCCCACCATTACCTTTCGTTCAAATGCAGCAAAACAGAAGAAAACATTGGTTAAAGTTAAGGCACAGCCCTGAGCCCAAAGACCTGCAGCTATGTTTTTTAAATTTATATATCTATGTATTTTATAGTTTCTTTGAATCTTCCATAAACAAGCTCTAAGGTGACAAGACCATATTACAGGATAAAATAAAATGTACAGGGAGTATGTATACACACCATTCATTCTCTCACCAAGAATTTCCAAATATATCAACACCATCCCATCATGGGGTGATGTTTTAATAACTGATAATTTACAATTAACATTACAGTATGTACATTACAATAAATACATGGTTGTAAACAGACAAACAAGACTGTGTTACAGGTAAGGTCATTTGGTGAGAAGAAAATGCATGGCACAAAAAATAAATAATGCATTCAAAAATTATCATAAAGCTTTCTGCAAAATCGATTTCATTCAAGTTTTTTTTTCCTTGTCTGCAATTTGTTCTGTCTACATTTTCTTAGGGATTTTGTGATGTAAAAGAAAATAAAATGAAAACAGCATTATTGTGTTTAGTAACTTGCAAGCTGAAAGGTACTGGTTTTATGCAAACTTGGGACATCTCTTCCCCATACAGTACCAAATATTGCATTTTCTTATGGCATTTTAGGAAATGTAAAGCCACTTATAAATGATGTTTTTTTTTAAAGCAGTGTAGAATTCTGAAGCACACTTTGGCGAGAGGGAAGGAGAAAGAGAAAGGGAGAGGATATATGCCTATACAGTGCATTAGTCCCTGTCTGTTGGATATTACGTCTCTTCTACAATTTGATTGTCCATTGGTGGGCACCTTCACAACACGTGACCACTAAAACCCAACCAAATGAAAAAAAAAAAGCCTCTCTCTATTTCAGTGCAGTATAAACCCTTTCAGGTCTGGATTTGTGACATATTGCTGCTGTTGTTTTTCATTATTAAGATTCTAGGCACTCTGTGGGGGAAATGCCAAGCATTAATGAAGGAAGGGAATGAGAGTATTTTGGGAAAAGGAATTAACCCTACATTCTTTTTCTTTTCTTCTACACCTTCATTAGGAGCAAATAAAATTAAATGAGAAAAAGTTTCCAAGTGCTTTTGTGGAACCATTTGGCCAAACAAAGGACTGTGTTTGAAAGATTACTGTCTGATTTTGACAGGAGGAGGAGGGTGGAAATCAGATAATTAGTTGATTCGTATTCTGTTCTAAGAGCAGATTAGAGCTACATAACTTTTCTATCAAATGTTCTAAGCATTAGTGGGTCTCAGGGGATTAAAGTAGGGACTGTCTTCAGCTTGGGCCATTTCCCTGGTTGATGACTTACTTATTAGTCCCCAGAGGGCTCCTTGAGACATCCCAAATATGAATGTGTTTCAGGGTTCTAATTTTTCTTAAATGCTGCATTTCCACTTGGTTAGATATCCCTTTGTTCTCTACTTCAATTCTTGGATATCAATGTGAAAAATGATTATTTGAACTCTATACTCTTCAGAAAGCAGTTAAACACATTATTAAGAGCTGAAATGGGAATAAAGTTCAAACTAAATAACTGCCCCAAGATATATCAAACTGAAGGTAAATACTGGGAATTAATCTCTAAAATTATATTTCTTGGTACTAAATTCAGCCAAGAGTGATCTCTAATTTTTTATTTAGGCAGGATCTTCTTACCCAATCCAGTAATATAGGACAGCATTATAGTACCAAACTTCTGGTGCCAGTGGTGTCATCAACTTCTTTCTGTCAGTGTATTTGAACAAGTTCTCCTCTGTAAGACATAGTTATGGACCAATGATAACTGATAATGCAATTCCCACATGTTATGTGGCTGTCCATTAAGGAAGAGTAGTTGCTACACTTAAAATCACTTCTCAAGAATATTCCTCATATTGTTCTTGATTCCATGGTGAAATCATAGAAACAAAAGAGCATGAGTTGTACTGGAGTTCATTAATATATTTGGCTAACACTGTTAACTGCCTAGTTAGCTGTTAAGTTTTCTCTGTAAATCGACTAGAAGCTAGTCATTACATATGACCTTCCACTAGAAAGGAATGCTGACTCTACCCTGACTACCTGTTTCTTCTCAGCCTTCAGAATGGTGGGGATATATCTGAGAACACCTCATCTAGTGAACACGGACAGAAGTTCAAACACATGCTAAATAATAAAGCAGCACATGGGGAAGAGAAGTTTTTCTTACTATAACTGACTGTGGAAACAATAAAAATGAGCATGAAATGTATGGGTTGTTACAAAGACATGCACTTGTGAAATGAGGGTCTACTGACACAGCAAAAAGTTACCAGAAGACACTAGGAAAATATCTAAAAAAGACTGACCATTTTAGCTACTGGGTATCTCTATACCTCTCACTTGCTTCAGACAACACCAACTGATGACTGAGTGTCTGTGAGGCTTAAGACACGTTAGACAGAATACACATCAAAGTATCACAGAACAAACATTCACTTTGCACACTGTGAAGAAAAATGTCAGTGGAGAGCAACTCTGCTTATCTTGAAGGAGTGAAACCAAAAGCAAAGACCTACAAAAAAGGGTTTCTTGCAACATAAAGTTTGTTTTGTTTTAAAATATGGAAGTCATTGGTATATAAAACAATGAATCACTACAAATCAGTTAATTGCTATGAACTATAAGGTGCAAGTAAAATTTGTAAATTAGATTTATCCAGTGTAGCACAGATTTGTACTGAAAACTTGCAAGTTACTCCTTAGAAAAAAATAACCAGTGGCAGATGAAGTTCTGAACCTAGTTTTTTAAATATAATACCTCAATACATTTAATAATAAAAGTAAGCTCTACAAAAAATCTGTTTTACATATCATACAAAACGTCGAGGTCGGTGCAGCTCACGGAACCACACTATTCAGTCATGTATCAGGAAGACTTGAAGTTAGAAAATTATGCAATTTCTGTGGCTCATCTTCATCCTGGGAACAGATTCATGCTGTGTCCTGTTCCTGACCCATTTGTTGCTTCATCCATCAGTCCACTCTGTGTAATGCCATTTTTCTGCTGAAAATATTGCAAACAAATACAAAGAAACAAAACTCCAAATCCTATCAACCTTTGGGCTCCCTGATGAGCCACACTCCCTTCAAAACATTTTGGAGTTGATTTTCTCTGCTTCATCAGCTGTACCAAGCTGAAATATTGTTAAGATGCTGTTCGTGAAGATGTCCCCCTTGCTCCGATGACATGGAGGTGAGAAAACTGGTTACAATATTCCTGAGCGCCAGACTGAGTAGTCAAGGTCAGTTTTATTCAACAAACGTCCTGGCAGATGACAATGAGGTGTGACCATGGTTGTGGCATATGACATGCACTTTGGAACAATTTTTCTACTTAAAAAAAAAAAAAAGGTGTGAAAGTCTTTGCACTGTTACGTGTCAGGAGAATGATCTATTACACAGGCTTCGGGCTGGTTCTCCTCTTCTTCCCCTACTGCCTCTCCCTCCACTTGTTCATCCAGGGGGATTTCAGTAGACTCCGAATCTTGAGTACAGAGAGTCTTGGAGTCACTGCAGCTAGTGTCTTCTTCCACCTGACTTCCACTGTCCTTTTCGGTGTCCGACTCGCCATCTTCTTCTAAAGTTAGTTCAAACTGGAACTTCTCGGCTTGACCCTGCCGGCCCTCCTCCTGGTCATCAGGCGCTGGGGACGGGCTCTGAGGAATTGTGCTCTGGTACCATTCACGATTGTCCTCCAAAGTGTCCAAAATGTCCTGGGCATCAGGATGCACGAGGTCCGCCCATGTCTCCCAGAGAGGATGAACAATATAATCTATGAAGCCCACCTAGTTAAACAAAAAGTCTGATTTGAGTACTGGACTTAGGACTAAGAAATAATGGAAAACATTAATTAGATCCTGCAAATATATGTAAATATTTATGTTATTATATAAGTTTATATAATTCACTTTAAAATATGGAAAATATAACATGGCCTGCAAGTGTAACATTGAACAGACAGCTTCTAAGTTTAATTTCATAAAAGTCACTGTTTTTAGGCAACAGACCACATAAAAGTGTTATTATAGCTGGTGATAATTAGTTTCAAGAACTCTTGGTTCAAGAATATGCTTATGACAGAAAAGATCTCCAGTTGTACATGGTGGGGCTTGGGCTTTAGGCCTGGACCTTATTTTAGAACAGCCAATTTATGGGTGAATCCAGATATACTGAAATAATGCCATGTACTCTATGTGAATTCAGATAATTGAAATAATTCTGTGTATATGAATACACTGTATGAATATAGACATAATGAATGAATGCAATGTCATAAGAATATAGATATATGACAATATATAAATAATACAAATGAGAGAGTTTTTTTGGGCTCATAAAAACTAATATGAAATTGAGCTTGTCAAAAAAAGAAATTTAAAAAACCAATGAAAATACTGTGTGATGTATATTCCAAAACAGCCAAATGTTCAAGTTGTAGTTTCATTCTCTCTGGCAGTTATATGCTAGTACATCACCTGTGATTTCTCCACGGATGCATTGTGCTTGTCACACATAGGACTTATCTCCATGCCCCGCTCCCTCTCACGGTCCCCCTGGCGGAAGAATTCCTCCATGATGCGGTCAGTCCACTGGCGATACAGCTGGAGAGGTTTTGTTGGATTGCTCAGGTCTGCACAGTGCACCATATTCTGAAGGACCTAAAATAGAAAACACTGTCTCTAGTCAGCACCTGCTGCTGCTTTTTTTTTTTTACTAGAAACTCACATTGGATGACTGTGACACTTAAAAATACATGTAGTGTGAGATTCAGTCCAAACAGCTCAACCATGGTGTGCCTGTGTGGTTCACACTTGTATTAATAGCATCAAGTTATGCCACTTTCACTACATCCAAACATCATAAGAGAAACTGTTTATGTTCATAGCTGATTAAATTCAGAGCCACTTAAGTGGCTAGTTTTGTGGGAATGTATATGCAAATGAAAAGGCCAAACAGGATTGATCTGGTTAATTCTCAAGATTAAGAATTTTGCTCAAAATCCTGCTTATAATTACCAGAACTATAACCTGGGAGAAAGATGACACAGATCCTATCAAAGCTAGATGCACAGATACGTGTGCACATGCACACACACACACACACAATGAAATCAAATAATGCTTTACCTGAATCCTATCAGAATAATTATCAAGAAGAAGAACTCCAGAACTTGTCACTTTCTTAGTCTCAACCATTGTTTTCAAATCAGCCAGTAGATTCATGTGTTTTGACATGTCTGTTGCAAGTACCTTAAAAGACAAAGAATATTTAAGAAGTAAAAACGTCCAGAGAAAAAAAGCCAGAATTTGAACATAAAAATATTAATGTAGAATGTGAAAGAAATGGAAAACCATTATATCATGTTATAGCAGTGTATGGAATTTCTTTTCTACTTTTTGGGGCATTCTTTTTCCCTTTCCTGTCAAGGTTTTGGGAAGCCCAGATAAGTATGTGCTTATATACATAACCAGCCCAGATAAGTATGTGTTTATATACATAAACAGCTACTGGCAACAACTGTCATGGTGGAAAATGGGATGGTATCTCCATGGATAAGAAATCATCACGTGTTTTGAAGTACTTTCCATTCCCTGGACTAGAAAATTGTTAACTGGACTACAATGAACCACTTCAAGGTTGCTCACAGAATACTTTATAAACAGAATATTCTGGTTAATTTCCTGCTTATCCAAGAGAGGTGATTCCTACTTTTGCATGTACAAAGCTTAAACTTTGGAACAATTTTTCTACTTAAAAAAAAAAAAAAGGTGTGAAAGTCTTTGCACTGTTACGTGTCAGGAGAATGATCTATTACACAGGCTTCGGGCTGGTTCTCCTCTTCTTCCCCTACTGCCTCTCCCTCCACTTGTTCATCCAGGGGGATTTCAGTAGACTCCGAATCTTGAGTACAGAGAGTCTTGGAGTCACTGCAGCTAGTGTCTTCTTCCACCTGACTTCCACTGTCCTTTTCGGTGTCCGACTCGCCATCTTCTTCTAAAGTTAGTTCAAACTGGAACTTCTCGGCTTGACCCTGCCGGCCCTCCTCCTGGTCATCAGGCGCTGGGGACGGGCTCTGAGGAATTGTGCTCTGGTACCATTCACGATTGTCCTCCAAAGTGTCCAAAATGTCCTGGGCATCAGGATGCACGAGGTCCGCCCATGTCTCCCAGAGAGGATGAACAATATAATCTATGAAGCCCACCTAGTTAAACAAAAAGTCTGATTTGAGTACTGGACTTAGGACTAAGAAATAATGGAAAACATTAATTAGATCCTGCAAATATATGTAAATATTTATGTTATTATATAAGTTTATATAATTCACTTTAAAATATGGAAAATATAACATGGCCTGCAAGTGTAACATTGAACAGACAGCTTCTAAGTTTAATTTCATAAAAGTCACTGTTTTTAGGCAACAGACCACATAAAAGTGTTATTATAGCTGGTGATAATTAGTTTCAAGAACTCTTGGTTCAAGAATATGCTTATGACAGAAAAGATCTCCAGTTGTACATGGTGGGGCTTGGGCTTTAGGCCTGGACCTTATTTTAGAACAGCCAATTTATGGGTGAATCCAGATATACTGAAATAATGCCATGTACTCTATGTGAATTCAGATAATTGAAATAATTCTGTGTATATGAATACACTGTATGAATATAGACATAATGAATGAATGCAATGTCATAAGAATATAGATATATGACAATATATAAATAATACAAATGAGAGAGTTTTTTTGGGCTCATAAAAACTAATATGAAATTGAGCTTGTCAAAAAAAGAAATTTAAAAAACCAATGAAAATACTGTGTGATGTATATTCCAAAACAGCCAAATGTTCAAGTTGTAGTTTCATTCTCTCTGGCAGTTATATGCTAGTACATCACCTGTGATTTCTCCACGGATGCATTGTGCTTGTCACACATAGGACTTATCTCCATGCCCCGCTCCCTCTCACGGTCCCCCTGGCGGAAGAATTCCTCCATGATGCGGTCAGTCCACTGGCGATACAGCTGGAGAGGTTTTGTTGGATTGCTCAGGTCTGCACAGTGCACCATATTCTGAAGGACCTAAAATAGAAAACACTGTCTCTAGTCAGCACCTGCTGCTGCTTTTTTTTTTTTACTAGAAACTCACATTGGATGACTGTGACACTTAAAAATACATGTAGTGTGAGATTCAGTCCAAACAGCTCAACCATGGTGTGCCTGTGTGGTTCACACTTGTATTAATAGCATCAAGTTATGCCACTTTCACTACATCCAAACATCATAAGAGAAACTGTTTATGTTCATAGCTGATTAAATTCAGAGCCACTTAAGTGGCTAGTTTTGTGGGAATGTATATGCAAATGAAAAGGCCAAACAGGATTGATCTGGTTAATTCTCAAGATTAAGAATTTTGCTCAAAATCCTGCTTATAATTACCAGAACTATAACCTGGGAGAAAGATGACACAGATCCTATCAAAGCTAGATGCACAGATACGTGTGCACATGCACACACACACACACACACACACACACACACAATGAAATCAAATAATGCTTTACCTGAATCCTATCAGAATAATTATCAAGAAGAAGAACTCCAGAACTTGTCACTTTCTTAGTCTCAACCATTGTTTTCAAATCAGCCAGTAGATTCATGTGTTTTGACATGTCTGTTGCAAGTACCTTAAAAGACAAAGAATATTTAAGAAGTAAAAAAGTCCAGAGAAAAAAAGCCAGAATTTGAACATAAAAATATTAATGTAGAATGTGAAAGAAATGGAAAACCATTATATCATGTTATAGCAGTGTATGGAATTTCTTTTCTACTTTTTGGGGCATTCTTTTTCCCTTTCCTGTCAAGGTTTTGGGAAGCCCAGATAAGTATGTGCTTATATACATAACCAGCCCAGATAAGTATGTGTTTATATACATAAACAGCTACTGGCAACAACTGTCATGGTGGAAAATGGGATGGTATCTCCATGGATAAGAAATCATCACGTGTTTTGAAGTACTTTCCATTCCCTGGACTAGAAAATTGTTAACTGGACTACAATGAACCACTTCAAGGTTGCTCACAGAATACTTTATAAACAGAATATTCTGGTTAATTTCCTGCTTATCCAAGAGAGGTGATTCCTACTTTTGCATGTACAAAGCTTAGCAGAGTAAATGTCCCATAACCAGATTTTCCTGTGTTATCATACCTGTGAATATTTTACATTTTCCAGTTTTCAAGTAGAATAAAAAAGCCATTCGAGCTATGGCTGGAGCCCTCTGCTTTTGTTAGTCATCTTTCCCTGCATGCCACCAGACCAGATGGATTCAGAAAATAAAACTAGAATGATGAGGAGAAGCTGTCACTATTTTTGACTCCAAACTGCTAGACACAGGAGCCTACTACAGAACATCACTGCAGCAGCAGGGGTAGCTTCTTGAACATAAAGGGAACAGTAAGTTTTGAAATACACCAGTTCCTTTTACCTGATAAGTCATCTCATTCTTTTTTTTTTTTTTAAATAATTTGCATCACAACTTTCTTTTTTGCTTTTATCAGCTACTTACAATGTCAATGACCATTTTCCTTAATGACTGTCTTTGCTTTTTGGTTAAATTCTGGAAAATGTCACAGTTTTCTTCCTGAAGCAACTTAAAGCCCACAGCCAAATGATGGTTCTCCAAGACAGAAGAATCATTGTACATCAAGGCAAGTTCAGAGTCTTGAAAGAAAGACAAGAGACAGAAGATTAGTAAAGCCATTTTAAAAGAATTTATCTTATTCTTAATATTCTGAGATATCTGGGTTTAGGAAGCAATTTCCCCTACACATCTCTGCTGGCCTTACCATGACATGACAACACATAGGAGAGAATACACTTATTAATGGAATGGTAGAAAGAGCACTGGATTCTTGGGAGTGAATTCTAATGCTGCTGATGTGTGGTAAGTCAGCCTGCTCTGTGGGCCTTGGCTTTCTTTTCTAAAGTGAAAGAAGACATGGCCCAGATGATCTTGAACCTTTTCTCCTTATCTGCCACCTGGGCTCCGTAACTGCAGCAGAATATGACATTAGTCTTAACTAACATTTGCAACATATCCAGAGCATAAGGGGTTATATTCTTGACTGTGGGCCACCTAAGCCAGCATTTTATATACTGCAAAGATCATGGGATTTAGGATTGTATTCAGCATATAAGAAAACTGTGGAACAGAGAAGGATTAAAGATGGTGGCATGAGAGGTGAGACAGAGGTTTCCTCCTAAAACTGCATATAATACGAAAATATAATTAATACAACTAATCCTGAAAGGGCACCAGGCAGGAGGACTGCACCAGACTGCATACACCTGGAGAAAAGAGCAAACCTTATGGAATAGGGTAACATACCAAAGCTGTGGCCTGGTGGGACCCAAGCCCTTCCTCCACCCCAGCTCACTGGCTGGAGGAAGAGAAACAGAGTAGGGAGGGATTGGCGGCCTGGGACTGCTGAATGAATACCTAGCTCCGGAGATCTGCTCTGGGAGCACAAAACTACATTTTGTGGTGCTTTCATGATACTCTCATGATTGGGGGATTGAAAAGCTGGGACAGGCAGAATTCCTGGAAAGACTGAGATTCTGGCTGCTTGTGGAAAGCAGGGATCCATATCTGGCTGCTCTGGGACAAAGGAAGGGCGGGTGGTCTGAGAGACTTCCTAACAAGAAAGCCCTTAGCAAGAGGGCTGCTAAAGGGGCAAGGATTGCACAGAGCTTACTGCTCAGGAGAAAGGACAAGTAGACAAAATTGTTCAGGTGCACTCTGCCCAGCAGGTTGGGAGCTTTCATGATTTCCAGGTGCTCCAGCTCCCTGGCTGGCTGCACAGCTCCAGAGACCCCCTCCATGATAGGCAGCCTACTGTCCCTTTATCCTGGCCAGCCCACCTGGCTTGCAAACCAGCAAATCCTTCCCTAGCATTAGGCCAGCCAGAGGGAAGATCTGTCTACAGCAATTGCAAATGCAAGGTATAGAGGCTCATGCCTGTGTGCTCAGCCCACTGGTTCAGGCAGTGGGGACAGGCATAGTGGCTGGGAAGCAGGAAACAGCTCTTTCCTTCCCCCAGGCACCAATACCACTCCCATGTGACCCCCGACATTGCTTCAGGGGCTGAGCAGCTCCAGAGAGTAGAGAATCTGGACACTAGAGGGCGACATATACAAATATGAAATGCCAAAGGAACCTGGTTCAGAGTAAAATTAATATAACTCCTGAGAAAGATGACATGGACATCATGACTCTTCCTGAAAGGGAGTTCAAAACAAAAATAATTAACATGCTAATGGAGGTACGGAAAGATATTCAAGAATTCAGGAATGAATTCCGGTCAGAGATCCAATCATTTAAGAGCACAAGGGAGGGAATTAAAAGCAGATTGGATATGTTGGAAGAGACGGTAAATGAAATAGAAACTACAGAAGAGGAATACAAAGAAGCTGAGGCACAGAGAGAAAAAAGGATCTCTAAGAATGAAAGAATATTGAGAGAACTGTGTGACCAATCCAAATGGAACAATATTCGCATTATAGGGGTGCCACAAGAAGAAGAGAGAGAGAAAGGGATAGTGTCTTTGAGGAGGTAATTGCTGAAAACTTCCCCCATCTGGGAAAGGAGATAAGTCTCTCAGGCCATGGAGATCCACAGATCTCCCAACACAAGGGACCCAAGGAAGACAACACCAAGACATATAGTAATTAAAATGGCAAAGATCAAGGATAAGAACAGACTATTAAAGCAGCCAGAGAGAGAAATAAGATCACATACAAAGGAAAGCCCATCAGCCTAACATCATATTTCTCAGCAGAAACCTTATAGGAAAGAAGGGAGTGGCATCATGTATTTAATGCAATGAAGCTGAAGGGCATGGAACCAAGATTACTTTATCTGGTGAGATTATCATTTAAATTTAAAGGAGGGATTAAACAATTTCTAGATGAGCAAAAGCTGAGAGAATTTACCTCCCACAAACCATCTCTATAGTCTATTTTGGAGGGACTGCTATAGATGGAAGTGTTCCTAAGGTTAAATAGCTGTCACCAGAGGTAATAAAACCACAGTAAAGAAAGTAGAACAATTAATTACTAAGCAGATGCAAAATTAAATCAACTACCACCAAAGTCAGCCAAGGCATAGAAAAAGAGTACAGAATATGACACATAATATATAAAGAATGGAGGAGGAAGACAAAGGAGGAGGAAAAAAAAGAACCTTTAGATTACTTTTGTAATAGCATACTAAATTAGTTAAGTTAGACTCTTAGATAGTAAGGAAGTTACCCTTGAACTTTTGGTGACCATGTATCAAAAGCCTGCAATAGCAAAAAGTACTTACCTACTGATAATCACCCTAAATGTAAACGGACTGAATGCAACAATGAAAAGACACAGAGTCACTGAATGGATAAAAAAAACAAGACCCATCTATATACTGCCTACAAGAGTCTCACTTTAAATCCAGACATACACAGACTAAAAGTGAAGGGTTGAAAAAAGATATTTCATGTAACTAATAGGGAGAAAAAAGGAGGAGTTGCAGTACTTGTATCAGACAAAATAGACTTCAAAACAAAGAAAGTCACAAGAGACAAAGAAGGACATTACATAATGATAAAGGGGTCAATCCAACAACAAGATATAACTATTATAAATATCTATGCTCCCAACACAGGAGCACCTACATATGTGAAACAAATACTAACTGAATTAAAAGGGGAAATAGAATGCAATGCATTCATTCTAGGAGACTTCAACACTCCACTCACTCTGAAGGACAGATCAACCAGACAGAAAATAAGTGAGGACAGAGAGGCATGGAACAACACATTAGAACAGATGGACTTAACAGATATCTACAGAACTTACACCCAAAAGCAGCAGAATACACATTCTTCTCAAGTGCACATGGAACATTTTCAAGAATAAATCATATACTAGGGCACAAGAAGAGCCTCAGTAAATTCAAAAAGATTGAAATTGTACCAACCAGTTTCTCAGACGACAAAAGTATGAAACTAGAAATAAACTATGCAAAGAAAATGAAAAATCCCACAAACACATGCAGGCTTCACAACATGCTCCTAAATAACCAATTGATCAATGACCAAATAAAACAGAGATCAAGCAATATATGGAGACAAATGACAACAATAATTCAACACTGCAAAATCTGTGGGACGCAGCCAAGGCCATGCTAAGAGGAAAGTATATCACAATACAGGCCTACCTCAGGAAAGAAGAACAATCCCTTATATGCAGTCTAAACTCAACAATTAATGAAACTAGAAAAAGAAGAACAAATGAGGCCCAAAGTCAGTAGAAGGAGGGATGTAATAAAGATTAGAGCATAAATAAATAAAATTGAGAAGAATAAAACAATAGAAAGAATCAATGAAAGCAAGAGCTGGTTTTTTGAGAAAATAAACAAAATAGATAAACACCTAGCCAAACTTATCAAGAAAAAAAGAGTCTACACATATAAACAGAATCAGAAATGAGAAAGGAAAAATCACTACAGAAACCTCAGAAATATAAAGAATTATTAGAGAACACTATGAAAAATTATATGCTAACAAACTGATAACCTAGAAGAAATGGACAACTTTCTAGAAAAATACAACCTTCCAAGGCTGACCAAGGAAGAAACAGAAAATCTGAACAGTCCAATTATCAGCAATGAAATTGAACTGTTAATAAAAAAATTACCTAAGAACAAAACCACTGGACCAGATGGCTTCACCGCTGTATTTTATCAAACATTTAGTGAAGACCTAATACCCATTCTTCTTAAACTTTTCCAAAAAACAGAAGAGGAGGGAATACTTCCAAACTCATTCTATGAGGACAGCATCACTCTAATACCAAAACCAGGCAAAGACACCACAAAGAAAGAAAATCACAGACCAATACCCCTGATGAACATAGATAACAAAAATATTCAACAAAATATGAGCAAACTGAATTCAAAAATACATCAAAAAGATCATCCATCATGATCAAGTAGGATTTATTCCAGGGATACAAGGATGGTACAACATTCGAAAATCCATCAACATCATCCACCACATCAACAAAAAGGACAAAAACCACACAATTATCTCCATAGATGCTGAAAAAGCATTTGACAAAATTCAACATCCATTCATGATAAAAACTCTCAACAAAATGGGTATACAGGGCAAGTTCCTCAACATACTAAAGGCCATATATGACAAACCCACAGCCAACATTATACTTAACAGTGAGAAGCTGAAAGCTTTTCCTTTAAGATCGGGAACAAGACAAGGATACCCACTTTTCCCACCTTCTATTCAACATAGTACTGGAGGTCCTAGCCATGGCAATCAGACAAGACAAAGAAATAAAAGGCATCCAGATTGGAAAGGAAGTTAAACTGTCCCTGTTTGCAGATAACATGTTATTGCATATGAAAAACCCTAAAGAATCTACTCCAAAACTATTAGACCTAATATCTGAATTCAGCAAAGTTGCAGGATACAAAATTAATACACAGAGATCTGTGGCATTCCTATACACTAACAATGAACTAGCAGAGAGAGAAATCAGGAAAACAATTCCATTCACAATTGCATCAGAAAGAATAAAATACCTAGGAATAAACCTAACCAAGGAAGTGAAAGATCTAAACTCTGAAAAATACAGGATACTCATGAGAGAAATTAAAGAAGATA